CACGGGGCTCGAACTCACAAACTGCTAGATCATGACCTGAGCCACCCAAGCTCCCCGTTAGCGTCCCGTTCTAACAGCCCTCTGCCTTTAATCCTGCAGCTGGCTGAGAAGTGGCCGCAGCGCGGGGACCGTGCTCCCGCACACAAGGCTAGTCGTGCGCGCTGCTCGGCCCGTGACGGGTCGCAAGCTCTTTGCCGCCTCCGTTCGGTTTGCTCAGTGCTCCTTCCACACCTCATCTAGGCGCTGAAAGAAAAAGAGTTGGGGAACGAGGCCTACAAGAAGAAAGACTTTGACACGGCCTTGAAGCACTACGACAGAGCCAAGGACCTGGACCCCACCAACATGACTTACATGACCAATCAAGCAGGTGAGGCCCAGGCCGAGGGGTGAGTGCGTTGTCGTCGGGCGGTCCCGGGGAGGGACACGGGTTGACTCTTCGTTAACCATCCTGCCCGGCAGCCGTGTACTTCGAGAAGGGCGACTACGGTAAATGCCGGGAGCTCTGTGAGAAGGCCATCGAAGTGGGGCGAGAAAACCGAGAAGACTATCGACAGATTGCCAAGTACGCGCGACCTTCGGCGGTACCTCGAGTGGTGTGGGGGGGTCGATGTCCAAGACCTAAGTTTTCCTGCGTGGGGAGGACGGTTGCTGGCCACACAGCCTGCTCTGTAAGCCGTGGGCCGGACAGGAGGCCACGGGCGTCCAGACAAGAGGTGTTCGGAGGGTGTGGTGTCCGAGCGGGGTGGGGGCGGGGGGCGTCTCTCCAGGAGCTGCCCTTGTCTCTGCTTTGCTCTCAGCACATTCCTTTTCTGCTTGTTTCGTTAGAGCTTATGCTCGAATTGGCAACTCGTACTTCAAAGAGGAAAAGTATAGGGACGCCATCCATTTCTACAACAAGTCTTTGGCAGAGCACCGGACCCCGGACGTGCTCAAGAAATGCCAGCAGGTGGGTAGGGAAAGAATATGGGTCCTGGTATTTCTTACCCACTGTAGCATTATGTTTAATAATGAACCGTTAAGGTTTTTTTCAAGTCGTGTCTTTGGTCATTTTATACCTCGTCCTTGTCACTTGACAACGTGTAAGGAGTAACCGTGATTTTTTTGCCGTCCTTTTTGTCGGCCAAGATCGTAACCTTTTACTGAAGGTCAGTGCGCTTAGGGTTATTATCGTGACTTAAGATTTATTTTTTATTTTACGCAACCAAAGCGTTGTGTTATCATGCCAGTTGTCCTAAATTACGGAGTGGGGTCGATTTTTATTCACAAAAAGACGGGTCAGAAAGTGAATTGTGCTGTTAACACATGCCTCATATTCACGCTTAATCTTGTACCAAGCATATGTCAGTATTGCTCATCGTCTCACTGTGTGTTTTCATGATGAGGAAGGTGTAATTCTTTCGTTTTTAAGTAAGTAATCTCTTTACCTAACCTGGGCTCAGACTCCCAGCCCCAAGATGATGAAGAGTTGCATGCTCTGAACAAAAACTAAAATGTTGCTGACAGTACTTTCTGCAAATCAAAATCTGAATCAGACCCTTATTTTAGTCCAGTGTTTAGGTGTCCAACAGTGTAAATGATTACTCCAAGGATTATTTTTTCTTAGGCGGAGAAAATTCTGAAGGAGCAAGAGCGGCTGGCCTATATAAACCCCGACCTGGCCTTGGAGGAAAAGAACAAAGGCAACGAATGTTTTCAGAAAGGTATGTTACAGGGACGCGCCTGAGTGACTCAGTTGGTTAAGCGTCCCACTTTGGCTTAGGTCATGATCTCCCAGTCCATGAGTTCAAGCCCTGCGTCAGGCTCTGTGCTGATAGCTCAGAGCCTGGAGTCTGCTTCGGATTCTGTCGCTCCCTCTCTCTGCCCCTTCCCACTTGCGCTCCGTCACCGTGCAAAAATAAACATTAAAGGTACATTCCAGCTCAGGTGACAGAGCTTCTGGATGAGTGATGAGTGATGCAGACGTGTTCTCTGTGCCTTGGCAGACTGCAAGCTAAATGCCCTCGGTGGGGGAGGAGGGTGGCTTTTTGCTTTCTAAAAAAGTTTCTTCTTTCCTTGCCCAGGGGATTATCCCCAGGCCATGAAGCATTACACAGAAGCCATCAAGCGGAACCCAAAAGATGCCAAATTGTACAGCAACCGAGCCGCCTGCTACACCAAACTCCTGGAGTTTCAGCTGGCGCTCAAGGTGGGCACATCTGGGCGTGTGCGGGGCCTGTTACGGCAGCGAATCTGTGCATGAGGAACGTTGTTTTTTCTCTTTTCACGTCGTGAACGTCTTTTTGATGTTCTTACTTTGATCTTAGAGTCAGAGGGATGGTGCCGTGCGTGTGAGGTTTGTAAGATGCAGGACGTATGCTAGCTCAGTCCTGGCCCATCTGTTGTGAGTGTGGTTGGGAATATTTGGAAACGTGGATCCGTTTCCATCTTCGCCGATGATGGACTCTTTTTCTTCCCCATCGCTTCCCCTCCCCCCTCTCCCCTTTTTTTTTTTTTAACACTTTACGTGTTCAGTTCATTGGGGTCAAGTCCATTCCCATTGTTGTGCACCCATCACCACCTTCCTCATCGAGAACCTTTCCATCTTCCCAAACTGAAAGTGCACCCTTTGAACACTAACTCCCACTCCCCCGACCCCTGGCGGCTACCATTCCACTCTCTGGCTCTCTGAATGTGACCCCTCTAGGGACCTCCTGTAAGTAGAACCATCCGGTATTTGTTCTTTTGTGTGTGGTTCATTTCACTGAGCATCGTGCTGTAGCAGGTGTCCGTGTTTCCTTCCTCCTGAAGGCTGAGTACTGTTACCTCGCACAGGTACCCCGCTTTCTGATCTTCTAGGCATCCTCTCCCAGCGGTGGTGCTGCATCCTGGGGCAGCACAGTGTTTGTTTGCCTGTAATTATGTGTGCGTCCATACTGAAGAGCCGTGGCATCGTTTCCCGCAGAAGCTTTGCCATCTTTGGTCCTTTTTTGATTAGCTCCCTTAGCAGCTCTGCTGTTCTTGGGCGTATTGAGTATGGTCTCGTGTGATGATGTCGACGCTGGGAAGGAAATCTTCGTTGCTCTCTTGAACGTGACCTGCTCTGTGCCTCTGTTGGCGATTTCTAAACTGTTCTCTAGATGACTTTGAATTTTTTTTATGTTTATTTTTGCAAGAGACAGCGCGCGAGCAGGGGAGGGGCAGAGAGAAAAGAGACACAGAATCCGAAGTGGGCCCCAACCTCCGAGCTGTCAGCACAGAGCCCGACGCAGGGCTTGAACTCACAGACCGCGAGATCATGACCTCTGAGCCAACCAAGGAGGCCCAACCAACGGAGCCACCCAGGCCCCCCCCTCCTTTTTTTTTAAGTGTTTATTTTTGAGAGAGACGAGTGTGAGTGGGGGAGGGGCAGAGAGAGGGAGGCTAGACGATTTTTAAAGTGTGGTCCATCCCCGGACCATCTTCTGGGAAGGTGACAAAATGTGACCCATCTAGAGACACACACGGGTTTTGTTTTTTGAGGCCACTAACTTCTGGGCCTGTGCCTGGCTTCGCAAGGTCACCCGTATGGGTACGAGGGCAACGTCAAAAACAGGTTGGTTTGCGAAGTGCAGGACCTCGGCAGTTGCCTGTGAGGAAGAGCACATCCTCCCCCAGCTACACAAAGGGGAACAGTGAACGGAACCATTTCTGATCTAGCTTCTGGCTGGAATAGTTGCAAGCGGGCCGGGGTGTTGAAACTCGGCCGCATTGCATTCTTTTCGCTGGGATTTTCCACCTTGTAGGTACTTCAAACAGAAATAGCCAGAACGTCTGTGTGCCCTCCACCTCTTTTGGCAAGAAGTAGGGATGCGTTTTTGTGGAACCATCTGCGAAAAGAAGTAGGCTAGGTTTTGGCACTCTGCGCTCCTGAGTGTGCTTTTCCTGAAAGGATCCTTCCCTTCCAGTCACGGTGTCAGTCGCACCCGCCTGGTCGTGGACTGAAGGCCAGAGGGCCGTCTGCTGCGGTCCTCTCCTCAGATTTCCCCCCAAATCCCCTTGATAGCTGCCCGTGTCCAGGTTGTGTGTTTCCTTTGGTTGTCATGTCCCTTTCAGTTCCTCAAACGAAAACTTTGCCCGCTTTTTCATTTTTTCCCATAACCTCAGCCTTTTGAAGAGTCTAGGCCGCTCATCTTAGGTGGGGTCGGCGGTCCATAGTCTGGAATGGTCGTCCCTCGTGGTTCTGCTTGACTTCCTCTCTCTAAGCCACCTCGGCTGGGCCATCTGTGAAACGGCCCAGATGCCCAGGTTAACAGAAGCGCCGGATGCGAAAGAACACTGTCGTGGGGCCAGGCGAAGAGTTCTGTTGATCATTCTGCTTTAGGGTAGTTTATCTGAAGGAATGAGCCTAATTTTCTGCTTTCCTCTCCTGCCCAGGACTGTGAGGAATGCATCCAGCTAGAGCCGACCTTCAGTAAGTGCTTTCCCGCCCCCTCTCCGTCCCTGGACGTGGCCCAGAGAGCGCGAGAGGGGCCGAGAGAGGGACCTGCGGCAGGAGCCAGCGGCGCCAGCGGGGTGGGGGGAAGGATGTTGGCGTTCGCATGACAGACAGGGCGGGAGTGGTGTCCCTTGGAGCCGCGTTCTGGAAAACGCCTCACCGCTCCCGTCTCTGTCCGCAGTCAAGGGGTACACGCGGAAAGCGGCTGCCCTGGAAGCGATGAAGGACTACACGAAAGCCATGGACGTCTACCAGAAGGCCTTAGATCTGGACTCCAACTGTAAGGTGAGGCTGCTTCTGGCCTCCGGGGGTGGGGGGGGGAGTCTCTCCCCTGCCTCCGGTCCTCCTCCGGGTCGTCTCGGTGTTTCCTCACCGACCCTTTCCTCTTGCCCGCTTCTCTCTGACTTCCCACTTCTCCGTTCCCCCTGTTGTCTGGGCTGAAACGGTGACCCGGTTAGTGCTAACGCCCTCCCCTGTTGGCTTTGCTGGGATGCAGGAGGCGGCAGACGGGTACCAGCGCTGTATGATGGCCCAGTACAACCGGCACGACAGCCCCGAGGACGTGAAGCGACGGGCCATGGCCGACCCCGAGGTGCAGCAGATCATGAGTGACCCGGCCATGCGGCTCATCCTGGAACAGATGCAGAAGGACCCCCAGGCTCTCAGCGAGTAAGTAGAGGGGGGCGGAGGTGGCCCCGGGGGACGAGGTGGAGAGAGGTGCGGCCGCACAAGGTGGGTAGGGACGTCATCGGTCCGGGCGAGCG